GGGGAAAAAATGCTTTACTGTTTGCCCATCAACTCAAGAAAATTTCTTTTGCATTTGGTGTATCTGGATTTCATTTTATTTTCTGCAGCAGCTGTTCAGTTGGCTTTGTTTTGCATGGAGCATTTGTGTTTCCAAGGAGTTCTTATAGGCTTTATACTCTTGTTGTTTGTTCCTACTTGTCTGAAAATAATCAGAACACTTTTAGTGAGGTTTTCACTGTGTTTTTCAAGCATTTCTTCTGACCACAATCATAACACCGGCCATACTAGAGCACATCATTAAATATTCTGTTAGGCCAGTGGTCTGTCATTTTCAACAAATTGTCCCACCAAGAAAAAATAGTCTATGTCTTATATAAAAAAAAAATGCTTTAACTCTTTCAATTTAGCACAAACTGTTTCCAGTGCAAGGATGTGAGCATAAAAAAATTAATTTAAAATATAACCAGGCCTAAATATAGTTTTAAAATTTGTTATATTAGAACACAAATATTTTCTGATTCTAAAAATGGCTTTTAAATCAGATATGTTCAAATTCGGCTTTAACACAAATATGTTCAAATAAGTATTATAATAATGTAGAACAGCATTTCCCAAATTCTGAATTGTTATGAGCCAATGGACCACTAAAAAAATATCAAATCACCAAAATAAAGAAAGAACTATAAAATACAATCTATTACTTTACCTAACCACACTCATTCTGCTCATTCAGTTTATATTAAGTTTTGAGAGAGTGGTTTTTTTTTTTTTTCTCTTAATAATTTTGTTTAATTTTGCAGTTTATAAATGGATAATGAAACATTTAGTATAAAATAAAGAGCCAAAAATATTCATTATATATAAAAAGCGATATGTGAAGCTCCCAAAAAGACAAGGCTAATTTTTTTTCCTTACGTCATGATATCTGAAAGCTTTGTCATTGCTTCTTTTAAAATATCTACCATACACACACTGACACAATAAATGAGAAATTAATAGCTCGGGGAATGAAAATGTTAGCATCTTTAATATGTGATAAGAACAAGAGCCACAATTACATGCTAGTGCTAACAAAAGATAAGAATTGCTTAGATTTGGTTTTTCTTTCCTGTAAAATGTTTTATTGCAATAGTTAACATATTTTGTAAATTGTCTGAAATACTTATTTCAGAGAACTTGCAAAAGGATATTTTACAGTTTAAAGGTAGGTTACTCAAGTTTTGTAATTAAAAAATAACACAAAATGTTCAATAATATTATCTTTATATTCCTATATACACATATAATGATAACTAAAAGGAGCAATAATTTTAAAATATTCAACATCTTACTCATGATTACAGGAACAGTTGTTGTTTTTTTCATTTTTTTTTTTGTATGCTTTTAGAGGTATATCATATTAAAAAGTAATTAATGAATTTAAAACATAATACTACAATAAATATGACTTCAACAGAGTTCTAATTTTATTAATTTTTAAAAGAACCAATTTTTTAAATTACCATGTATTTAATATAGCAGATGTCAGAGGTGTCTTTAAATGCTCTACAAAAATACTATTTTTCAATTTATAAATGAATAATTATCTATCTTTATTATAGAGTCCCTAAAGGCTTCTCATGTATATATCATGAGCAGTAACACAGCTGTAATAATATTTAAAGCAACTTATGGTGAATCTTATAACATACAACCTGGTGCCCCAGTTTATGAAGTGAAGGTAAATAGCAAATATACATTTTTCTTCTCTTAAATAAGAAACAATTTTTACTTTTTTATTAAAAAAATTTTGTCTTGTTGAATTGTCCAAATTTTCTTGGAATTTAAAAAAAATGTGATTCCAGTAATAGAGTTTCTCCATTAATATAATACTGCTTAATGAACTTAAATAAAGGCAAATTTATCAGCTGCTCAAGTTAGTTTTTGTTTTTTTTTCTTTTGATTATCAGAACTGTTTATAGAGGTTTGTATAAACATTGGAGCTTCTTCATTAAAAACAATGTTTATAATTAGTGTCCTATTCTTACTTACTAGTAGACAATAATAATTATGGTTTTGATAAAATATAACAGAGCAAAACTGATGTAAATGGAAATGAAGAATCCAATGGCAAATTGTACATTCTGGTACCACCAACTGAATCAGTTCAAATAGAGATATGTGAAGGTGAGTTAAAAAGAATGCAATCATAAGAAAATTCAATTTAATTTAAATAGATATTCAATATTTTATAAACATGTGTTTTCTTGAAAATAAATTCAAACAATTATGTTTTTAGAAATTATGAAAAGTAAAAATTTAATAATTGAAAATCAATTTTTAAAAACATTGTCTCTACTCATATGCAATTAACAAATATTCAACTAACTTGTAAATAATTTAACATATTAATGTATCAATTATTAAATATGAAAATAAAATAAATCTCAAAATTTTACTTAAAGTGAATGAGTCACCATCTACACCTGAGTCACCAAGTACTCCAGGATCACCAAGCACACCTGAGTCACCAAGTACTCCAGGATCACCAAGCACACCTGAGTCACCAAGTACTCCAGGATCACCAAGCACACCTGAGTCACCTAGTACTCCAGGATCACCAAGCACTCCTGGATCACCCAGCACACCTGAGTCTCCAAGTACTCCAGGATCACCAAGCACACCTGAGTCACCTAGTACTCCAGGATCACCAAGCACTCCTGGATCACCCAGCACACCTGAGTCTCCAAGTACACCAGAATCACCAAGCACGCCTGAGTCACCAAGCACACCTGGATCACCCAGCACACCTGAGTCTCCAAGTACTCCAGGATCACCAAGCACACCTGAGTCACCAAGTACTCCTGGTTCACCAAGCACACCTGAGTCACCAAGCACACCTGGATCACCCAGCACACCTGAGTCACCAAGTACTCCAGGATCACCAAGCACACCTGAGTCTCCAAGCACTCCAGGATCACCAAGCACGCCTGAGTCACCCAGCACACCTGGATCACCAAGCACACCTGAGTCACCGAGAACTCCAGCATCACCAAGCACACCTGAGTCACCAAGTACTCCATCATCACCAAGCACACCTGAGTCTCCAAGTACTCCAGGATCACCAAGCACGCCTGAGTCACCCAGCACACCAGGATCACCCAGCACACCTGAGTCTCCAAGTACTCCAGGAACACCAAGCTCACCTGAGTCACCTAGTACTCCAGGATCACCAAGCACTCCTGGATCACCCAGCACACCTGAGTCTCCAAGTACTCCAGGATCACCAAGCACACCTGAGTCACCTAGTACTCCAGGATCACCAAGCAC